AACAACAGTGAATGTTAATTGGACCACTAAGATGACCAAAATGAGCCTATTCTTTCCTCTAGCGGTTCTAAGTAAGGCTGGAAACTCTTTGGTTATACAGCTAGATGATCTGAAAAAAATCATATGCTGCTCCCCAGCTGTGAACACAATGGGGGAGAATATCACTCAGTGCTTGGCAGGACATGAGTAAAAGTGAAAGGGGTGCTACAACATTGTCAGTTCAGTAGATTGCACTTGGTCAACTGTACATATGGCAGGGGTGAGGGGCTGCATTGCTTTTCTTTACAGCAAGTGAAAACACTTCCAGGCTGTTGGCTGAGAAGCTGCCCTAATTCATTTTCTCATCTGTTTTCATGGTTTCAGGTACAGATCATAGAAATCGTCTTGAACAACACTTTCTACAATGTGTTAGACATGAACAATCTAGGCTTGACCAATGAAAAAGAAGTAAGTAAATGCCCCAAACACAACTTGCCTGGACTCTTTAGAAATACTCAGTCTTAAAGCATAGCAGTTCTGTGTAGAACAGAGTTAAAGGGAGTAAACTTTTCACCCAGCTCCAGTAAAAGCTCCACCTTATCTCTAAAAGAGATTTACACTGATTTCAAAGAAGGGTAATTGCTTTCTTGTGTTGTTAATATAAGCTAAAGGAGCACAGTGGAAAGCTTTGAAGATCAGAGGGATCTGTAACACAGTCTACCTCTGAAAAATCATTCCTCTCTTTACAAAAGTTGACTTTTAGTGTCAACCTATGCAGTTTTAACCATGATGAGTGTCAGGAGGAAGGAGCCAGGCTCTTCTCAGTGATAGCCAATGACAGGACAAGGGGAAATGGGTGCAATCTGGAATATAGGAGATTCCACCTGAACATAAGGAAAAGCTTTGTCAGTATGAGGGTGCCAGAGCATGGCCCAGGCTGCCCAGAGAGGTTGTGGAGTCTTCTTCTCTGGAGACATTCAAAACCCGCCTGGACACGTTCCTGTGCGACCTGGTCTGGTGATCCTGCTCTGGCAGGGGGGTTGGACTGGATGAGCTTTCGAGGTCCCTTCCAACTCCTCATATTGTGTGATTCTGTGTGATTCTGTGAGTGCATTATGGCACCCTTTCACATAGCCAGGCAGTGTGAAAAGCTAGCCCACTATGGCTCTTCTTTCTGCTCCATTTGCAGCACCACTGAGGCCGGGGAGCACCCTTGGTGCAGTGGGTTACAATCAGGTTAGCGAGGCCATAGGCTAAATCTAGGGGACCAGCACTCTAAGGCAGCAGTGGAGGGATGTTACTGTAGCCATTAGGAACCAAAGCAAATTGATGCAACAGCAGACAAGGTATAAGCCTGGGATCCTGCAGTGGGTGAGAGATGTAGGGGATGAGATATATTTGCTCCTCTTGCCACAGCTGCTCTAGCTGACAGCCAGGTCAGCTGGAGGTCTGTTATGTTATCCTCATGTGACAGAGAGAAACTGGGTTATTCCACTTTGCATCAATGGTCTATAGTCTGTTTATGCTCTAGTCTCCCTCCTCAAGTCTTGTGATTCTGCTGCCATCCTATCCTACTCTTGCTCTCTGTCACGTGGACATTACAGATCCACTTTCACTTGAGATAACAGCAACATTTACCATTGATGTTCACAAGAGACTGAAAGGGTCTGGGCATAATTTTGAGAGGAGGTGAATAGCTGCAATTTCTGCTATGACAGCACTGGCACATCCCTGTCTCAGAAGGGACTTCTGTTTGTGTTCATCCCCCTCAGGTCCTGATTCCAGTGGAAACTCCCTATGGCTCCTGTGCTTGCACACTTGGCAGGAAGAAGTTCCTAGAAGCACAAGGTCACATGCTAAAAGATGAGAAGCAAAGTCAGTTTGGACTGGCAGCTGCCCAGAGAAACTAAAGCTCTTGGCTACACTCACACCTTCGTGATAAACTTACAGCATGGCTTTCCTATCAATTTATACTCCTTATTGGCCTCGTCCATTGCTGACTACTTTTCCCTCTATGAACTCCTGAGGTCTGGATTTCTGAAAGAGCCTCAGGAATTCAGAAATCAAAGTCTGTCCCCAAATCTCAGTGTGATTTGCAGATTGAAATCCCCTTACACTCTTTTGAAAGTGCCAGCTGGAAACATTATAGTCAATTAATTTTTAAACCAGCTATTCCCAGCCCTCTTAATGAATCAATGAACAGTGTCTGTAACATGCTTTTGACACACAAAATCAGCAACTCTGTATATTCTGTTTATTAACGTTCCTTCAGTAAAATGAATATACAGGCACGAGACCAGATGTTTCACTGACGTAACCTGTCATGACCCCTTGATGCCACACTGATCTACAGAGCTGAGCTTCTGACCCAGTAACTGCATAGAGAATCAGTTAGACATGGATTTCTTTGTGAAGGCAATGAAAAAAAAAAACCAAACCCCAAGGGGAAAAAAAAAGGGGGGGGGGGGGGGAATAAAGGTATCTCATATCTCCTTTGTGGTGTGAATAGTTACAGCTGTTGACTAATTTCTCTGCATGTATTCTGACTGCATGGCTGCTGTTACTATATAATTAGTTTTATACTAATCGCTGACATGTTTGAGGTTTTGGGCTATCTCTGTAAGTTTAATTAGTTTTCTTTAGTCTAATGATCTCATTGTGACTTCTGAGCAAGGCAGGAGTCAACCTAAGTAACCCTATTACTTTTGGGAGGGACAGGGAAAAGCTAGACAGACAGAAATGCATATCTTACTTTACTTACCCCTGGTCATAGCTTTAAACATAGAGATAAAACTATACAGCCAACAATTCTCATCTCACAAACTGCAGCTACCACATTTGCAACAGAAATCCTGCTCAACTTCTGACAACTTCTAACCGCTGCTCTCATTTTCTCCGGGTGTCATTTTCACTGACTCCATCTGACAGAGTGCAAATCCAATGGGAAGTGCCCAAAGGTACTTCTGAAAACTGCAATTCAGTTGCCTTTGTGCCTTTATAATTTAGGCAGACCTGCAGCATTCCTCTAGTTACAATCATTAAGTTCATAGGCACCAAAAATAAGGAACGTGTCCTGCACCGTGTGACATGTTGAGGTGCTTTGCAAGACGGGAACTTGCCTTGGAGAGAAGGACATAACATGCAAAGGGAAGACACTGTTCACAAGCCTGACTTATCTCCTGGAAAACAACAGGCCAAACGACAGCACAGAGTCAATCTGTTCCAGATACGCTGTTCTCTGGTCACTAGTCAATTCTGAAAGTTTTATTTACTACACTTTTAAGCTTTTGCCTGTGACATTCTTTCTTACCTTGCTGGAATGGGTTGTATTGTACTTCTGGGCTTATGTCTTGCTATTGCTGCTATTTTTAGGTGCTTGTAATTTATTAACGTATCTTTTAAGGGCAAATAAAGAGCAACATCAAAAAACAAACTAGTATTTGACTGTATACCAAATAAGAATTGAAACCATTTACTACTTCTATAGAAAAGCAAACACTGTAAGTAAAAGAAACATAGTTTACTTCAGCCAATTATCTCAAAAAGCAATCAGTCTTGTTCCAAATGACAATTGTTAAAACAGATGTAAAAGGATATTACTGAACATTCCAATATTTACCTCTTTCTAAACAAGTCAGATCTTCACAACCCACTTCCTTTCTATCTTATGAGATCTGCATTGCATTAGGCGGAAGGTTTCCTGCTGTTACTACTTGTGCTTTATTTGTGGGCTTGTAGGTAGTAGTGGACTGGCCTTCATGGCAGAATGAGGACACAAAGCAGCAACTGCTTGTTTATTTAGACTTTCCTGTGGCAACAAGCACGCGTGTACACTCATGCAATGTAGTTTCTATTAACCCCTGCAGACATGCAGACGTTCAGCAAGTCTTTAAAGACCTCTCAGCACAGCTCCATCCGGCACTGCAAACCTGAGTCACTTACGTGGGCAGACTGCTTCTAAAGAAAGTACTTAGGCAATCGGAAGAAGCCCAAATTTTCCACATGGCAATTAAGATTCAGATGACAATGGCATACATCATTCTTAAAAATGGGACTTAGCCAGACTTACCTGGGCCTGAAACCTGATCAAATTCCCATTGGCTTCATTAGATTCAGTCTCACACTATTTTAACTGAGAGGGAATATTTTTTCCAGTCCCTGTCCTGAGGAGCTATTCAAGCTGCTTACTGTGTTTTACTCAGAGGCAGCTGTAATGCTTTGCTGATGAAATCACACTTGACAGAAATGAGCAGCAGGTAGCAAATCATAAAATTGCCATTTAAAATACATCATCTTGCTGGTAACATGGACCTTGCTGGTCCTGAGCTACATCCCAGTAGTTTATAGGGTCTGGAGTCTCCTATCAAGAAACAAGGTATTTCAAGTGCAGAAACATCTTACCATCATTTTAGTGTCCAATTCTTTCAAATCCTCTTCCTGTTCAATTCCAATAGCTGTCCAGGACAGTCCAACCGTAGTTCTCCTCAGCTGCTCATCATGCTCCACACACAACCAGCATCACATTGGTAAAATGCACTAGCTAAACTCATTAGCCAATATCTAAAACAGAGATGAAATGTTACCTGCAGGGTCAGTACAAGTGGTCTATCTTCACTGGCTGTATTAGTCTATATATATTCAGGCTACCTGCTTTTCAACAGACACTTTAACCTGTCAGTTTTTATTGACTATTACAGCTACTTTCTTCTTTAAAGTTGTCTTTAAAAAAAAAATAATCCATCTTGCTTTTATCAAGAGCACAGAACCCTGATTCCAAGTTGAACTGCGTTGACTTAAAGCAACAACAACAACAAAAATCCCTTTCTGGCTAGAAATCTCAATATAAATACTTGTGAAGGTAGAATCCCAGTATTTGTGTACAAACAACAGCCAACCATCTTCCTCCTGGAAAGTGCACAGCTGTATCTAGAAAGGAAACCTATTATATGTCTCCAGTTATAGGATTAAAAATGTCAACTCACATCTCAGCTATAATTACTATATAAACTGGTTTGTGATTCCGAGTTTCAACTTTACCATTCATAGCAGCCTGAGAAAGAAAAGACATGTGTAACTGAGTACACATGCACCTGGTCCCATATGTGTATGTATATATATATGTATAAATGGCTCTTACTAGATCAGGTGGTGTAGAACTCATCTATGGCAATCAGATAAGAAACAACATGAGTTGTTACATAGTCTTATTACAGACTTGCAAACTCTTAGCTGCATTGAGTTGAAGCCTGCCATGTTCCCTTCAAGATCCAGCCCAAACTACACACCAGGACGGCAGTTCACCTCTGCCAGACTCACAAAAAGTGAGTGGTGGAGAGAAGCAGGAAAGGGGCACACGTCCCATTGCTGTCTGCCAGAGAGAACTGGAGGAGTACTTCACAGACCTGGGGAGCAGAAGCAAGGGTAATCATTCAGTCCTGTTAGCTGACCACAGCAGGTCAGGTATCACTGCAAGTAAATGCTTGCCTCTGGGGACAGGCATTTGTAGCCCAGGTCTTGCTGAATGGAGGTGCATGGTGGGAGCAGACTGGAATGGGAACATAACGTAACAGAGGCAAGAGAGACCAGAAGATAAGCAGGAAAAATGGAGGAGGGAAGAGGAGGGAGAAATAGAGTGAAAATAAAAAATATCAGACAAATCAAAGAAGGGAGAGAAGAGAAAGGAAAAAAAAAAATCGGTGAGGACAAGTATCTCTCCTGTCTGGCTACTTCAGAGCTGAAAACACAAACCCAAAACAAACAATACTGGAGGGACTCAAAACTAGAAAAAGAAGGGGGTAGAGAAACCCTTAGTGCAGAAGGAAACAACAGCAGAAACCAAAGCGACCAAGTACTGAGGGGGGCTTCTGCCACTTCTGACAAGCGACACCATGCATGAATTCTCACATTAACATCTACATCTGACTGGAAATGACAAGAGTTAAAGTTTTAACGGCTTTGTACTCCTGCAGTGTTTCTAAATCTTTTAGATTGCATGTATTTCCAGGTAGAAAGGCCTAGGTAAACTGGCATGTGGTATTTATACAGAAGGGAGGAGGGAGTAGAAGAGGAGTATTCTTGTGAAATAGGGTTGCTACACTCAGGCACACACCCGCTTCTCCCTGCGGTTTGGTCACCAGCTGGGACACAAACACAGCTACATGTTCTTTACTTCTCCTGCTGCAATCCACCAGTACAAGACAAAGCAATGTCACTCTTGAATCAGAGATCAGCACAAATGAGCCTTCCCTTCTTTTTTTTGGTATGATTTAGCTGCTACGAAGTCGGGGGCGTCTGCAACATAGCAAGTACTGCAGAGTGTTTATAGAGGGGCAGCTGGATTACAGCAATCATCTGAAAAGGGGAAGAGAACATCTTGAGATGAGTGCAAACCTGCCAAAGCAAAGACATTTGCTGTTGCCTCATCAGCAGACCAGCTGATGATACAGCAGTTATAACTGCTGACTCTTCCTTTAAAGATGCTCATGAGTGCAGCATATAAATACAACAGTGGTCTCCAGTACTCACCAGCAGCCTTCAGTAGCAATGAAGCTCTCACATGGAGACCAAGGGCCACGTACAGTCTTCATGGTGCCCCCCTTGGGCTCTCCAGGTGTTTGAGGTTACAGTTGCATTCCCCAAATTTACAGAGTCTATCAGCTAATGTTATTCTGGGAGTAAGCTGAATACACATCTGGGATCCAAAGGAACATTACTAAATCAAATAATTCCTTAATTATAGAGGCTAAGCAAAAAAAGAATGTAATGACCTTGTTACATTAGCATATTAGAAGAACACAGCCTTTCCCAACAGGAATGAAAGTGATTTACTAAATCAGTCCACCCATTATTCCAATGGAGATTGTCCGTGCAGGCTGCCAGTGGGCTAATGACAGCCACTGCCCTCTGCACC